CCCCCCCCCCCCCTCCTTCCTTGGATGCAGAGCATATTTGTCCTAAAATAGACTACTCAGTCCCACCCCTGAGTTTTCACCCCCTTCATGGCTGGCTTTAAGGTTGGGAGATTTGTATTGTATTGTGTTGATAAATTAAACAAATTTTAACACGACACAATTTAGTTATGATTAAGTAGATTTGTGTTGTGTCATGTTTTGTACCATGTATAATACATGTTTGTTTCAGCCACCATTTTTTTTTTAAGCGTATGCTGCGTTACTCCCCTCCAAATTTTACTACAATGCATGCAACAGTGTTAATTAGATACTTGCTTAGATAAGTGCAATAAGAGTTGCTCTTGATACGATTAATTTGGATATTAAGGGATAGGATTGAGCCAAATTAGTCCAGTAATCACTTAATATCAACTTTAGATTATATTACAGGGTTTGATATTTAATGATTTTTTTGTTAATACCATCCTGATGCTAAATTATCAAATAACACCCATAACATAATAGAAAACAGTACAAACCAATCTTATTGGATAGGTGACAAAAAATCAATTATGATAGGTATTAGGATAGAAAATAAATAAGTACATTCACAACAACTTTCCAAAAAAAATTCTTTCCCAAACCTAGTTTTGAATGAGAATAGAGGCATTTTTTTTATCTTATCTGATGATGCACAAAAATGGTTTTGCACACCACCTGTCAAGTATAGATAATAAATGCAATGAAATCAACGAAAGAATTAAAGAAGACACAATTTATAGTGGTTCGGTCAATTCGACCTACGTCCACTCTTCAATGGCTTCAGTCGCCGGGTATTTTATTGATTCAAAGGTATGGAGAATGGAGATACAAGCTTTGAGAGGGGGAATGGAGAATCAAAGAATAATAATCTCCGGTAGTCGGTTCGTCTTCTGTAAGTCTCTGATGGAGCATGTGTCCTTCCTCTCCCAGATTAGAGCCATTTTATAGTAGCTAAGAGATCATTCTTGTGGAGATCATGACATATCCTCAAGGCTTCTTTATCGCAGCTTAGAGATTATCTTTGGTGGAGATCACGACTTATCCTCAACGGAAGGAAGAGGTTGGGGAGCTCTTCATGAAACGTGGTCAATGATTGGACCGTTTTCTTCCTTCGGTGGTGCAGATAAACTTCCCGTGCTCTCCTCTTGGTGACGTGCTAAGCAAGAAGTCTAGCCGGCCTTGGTCTGTCTTGGACTTGGTGGGTTCACGATGAGGTTGGGCTCCTCAACCGGGGTTGGGCTTTAATACATAAATTGGACTATTTGGGCTTAACCCATCATTATCAACTTAATACCTAACATTAATCTCCAATATAAACAAGTGATTGATATTAGCACAATGCGTACACACTTTATCACAATAATGATCCAAACATGGCAACCCAAATATGGCAACCCCTTAAAGCAAGATTAAGAAAAATTTATCCATCATAAATATCCTAATTCCGATATAGATGGTTTGTCTTTGACTATATTAGAAAAGAGATTAATCAAGGTGCAAACAAGCTGACGCGGATACTTCTAATTGTTGAACCCACAAAAATAACGATCCAAACATGGCATACACGACCCATAACAAATACAAAATCGATTATTATCTCCAATATGCTGAGAATTAAATCAAGTGCTAAAGTCCACCTCACGTTATATCCAAACTAAACACCCCTTATAGTATCAGACTCTATGAGTATTGGATCAAATAGTATGTATTGATTGGAGATCCCACTCTAACACAATAAAAATAAATTTAATAACTTGACTACGGTACCAATAAATTTATTATTTTTGTAAGTATGTTTATTATTATTACGATAAATGTAATTTTTTTTTTTTTTTTTTTACTATCATAGGCTGATCCTGAACACGTCAAGTGGAAGCAACTTTCTACTTGAGGGTTTGTTAGCCTAATCTGACAGCAACCATGACATTGGTTTTTTTGTCGGTAAGTAAACATGGGAGGTTATGTGAAAGGTTTTGAGGCTTTTGCGGCCTAATTTAACCAAAAATGTCTGCGTCAAACGTAAGACTAAAGATCATTTACTGTCGCATGCCTTCTTAACTCAGCCTAATCTAGAAGGTAGGAACTAGTCTAGTGACAAATGGAGGTATTGAGACGTCTCTCATTCTACCTCATCCCTTATGATCAGTGTTTGTTTGCCAACCAACAGATTAGAGAATTTAATATCCATTTCTTCCCTCAATCTGTGGAAAAGTCAACAGCATGTACTTTTCTCAACTTTTATCCAGCTAACGTTGGATGGTGATTCAAATCCCCCGCCCCAAATTAAAGGGTATTGGATAGCCCGTTTACGAAGGTATAGTACAATACGNTCCAGCTAACGTTGGATGGTGATTCAAATCCCCCGCCCCAAATTAAAGGGTATTGGATAGCCCGTTTACGAAGGTATAGTACAATACGGATAATTTTTAAAAAAATATTAGTAATTGTTAAATGAATATATTTAAGATCTTTGATTAAATTTATTAAAATTTGTCATATTTTATATTATAGATTTATATAATCCGTGTTTGAAGACACCGTACAATATAAATAATTTTGAAAAAGATTTTGATAATCATTGAATGAATCTATTTGAAACTGTCGAATAAATTTATTAAAATATACCCTATTTTATATTACAGATATCTAGTGATGATAATGACCCAAATTGTGTCACGATAAAATTTATTTAATTTATATTATTTTAATTAATTCATGACATGTATATGTTATCTTCAACTTTGCATCATGTATAATTAATTTCGTATCAAGTCGTTTTCTAAGTGAGTCTAATTGGTAAGTACAATGAAAATTAAAGTGGTTAAAAAACAATTTTATATTAATTTCACGTTGAATTAACTAATTACATCCAGCTTACACTATTATTTGCTGAAAAATTGCGACCANATAATTTTGTATTAATTTCACGTTGAATTAACTAATTACATCCAGCTTACACTATTATTTGCTGAAAAATTGCGACCAAACAAATTCCTTTTCACTTGGAAACAATGAAAAGTCATGATTATTGAAAACGAAAGTGAATTTTCACACCAAACTTCAGGAATTGGGATAGAACATAGTGATAGTTATAAAATTATATGTGTCCTCCATCAAACCAGCACAGTAATTGGAACCTCGTTTTCCTACAACTAATCTTGCTTCCCACGTTTTATCTCTCTCTCTCTCTCTCTCTCTAGGGTGATGGCCATGAAATTCAATGCAATCTAGAAAGTGTTAATTTATGTATGATGTGCCCGCTGACTGCGGTATTTTATAAAATTATTCAAAGACGAGTTGTTGTTAATCCTTATATGATAAATTTTATTACGCACGCCTCTCCCTATACTAATTAACTCTTTCACATGTCAATATCAATCTTCTAGTTCAAGGAAAATTCATACCTCACTGGGCCCCCATAATAAAATTCAAGTTGTAAAATTAAAATGGGACACACCAACAGAAGATGAACATACCCCCCTAAGTAATAAAAGGCGGCTTCTTAGACCTCATGGTTCAATCTTATTTCTCTCTCTCTCTCTCTCTCTTTTCTTTGCTCCTTCTCTCCTCCTTCCTCCTTTCTTCTTCCTGCGGCTGCCATAGCCCTCTCCTCTTTATAACTAGCCAAGAGGATCATTCAACCTGTCTGTGCTATTCAATTACAGAGAAAAAAAAAAAAAAAGAGGGTCTGAGAAACTGCATGGAGATGGAAGTGGTGATACCTGTACACAACATGGATTTCGACTTTGCCAGTGCGCGTTCTTCGCCATATCCGAGCGCTCCTTCTACGCCAAAACCCTTCGGCCATTACTACTTCAGTGCTCCCACAAGCCCGACTCGCCTTTCCGAGTTTTATCGCGATTTAGATGATTTGTTGAACAACAGCAGCACAAAAACCGGTGGTGATTCTTCAACAGTGCCGGTTGAATGGAAAGAAAAGGCATCATCTAGAGCAAACAACCATGAAGATGATTTTGCATTCGATTTCAGTGCAGAATTGGAGAGAACCTCTCTCTCAGCTGATGAACTGTTTGATGGTGGTGTGATCCGACCTCTGAAGCCTCCAACTCCTGCTAGGAATCAGAAGAGCCCAGTCATGTCTCCTAGATCACCAATATCACAAGGTAAAAGAATTTTCAGGGGTGTTTTCTCTCCAAAACACAAGACACAACCCGATCCATTTGCAATTGCTGTAGAAAATACCCAAACGAGAACACCAGATCATGAAAGAGGAAGAGAGAGAAGTTCCTCTTTTTCTTCAGAAAGCTCAGGCCGAAGAGCAACAAGGTCACTTTCTCCATTAAGGGTTTCTCAGTACCCATGGGAGGAAGAACATCAGCTGCAGCACAACACAAAACAATCTTCTACGAGTTCAAAACCGTCTTCATCTTCAAGTATTTGTCCGGCCTTATCATCGTCTTCATCTTTGAAAGGATACAGAAAATGGAAACTGAAGGACTTTTTCTTGTTCCGAAGTGCATCAGAAGGAAGAGCAGCAGATAAAGATCCTTTAAGGAAATACACAGCTTTGTTCCGAAAAAATGAAGATGTAAAGAACTCGAGCTTTAGAGCAATTGACAGTCCTGGCTTTGGATCCAGCTCAAGAAGAAAAGGACCAATCTCAGCTCATGAATTGCATTACAAGATGAACCGGGCGGTTTCAGAGGATTTGAAGAAGAAGACCTTCCTGCCTTACAAGCAGGGAATTCTGGGGAGACTGGCCTTCAATCCGGCCGTCCATGCACTTGCCAATGGCTTTGGTTTTTCACGTAAATGAATCTTTGGATAGAAATCAATTTGTTCCTTTCTTTGGTTGCAAACATAATTATTTGTTTCTAAAAGTGTAAAACACAATCATTAAGAAATCAAGTTTATTTATTTTTTTTCTCTTTTTTTTTTTTTGTTCAAGGCAAGATTGAAAAGATTAGCCGTGGTTTACATATTTTTAGATTTCTAATTACAATATTGTACATTTCGAAACAAAATTTAGCGGTGTAATATGAGCCTGTGATCATCAAAACAGCAATTTCAACAATTGCTACTGAAATTTTAAGAGAAATTAACACTACAAGCACATGTCAGTTCATGAAACTTCATACACTTGATCCCAATTTGAAGAAATTATATAATCTGGACATTAATGCCTCACCTAACCCAATTGTATATTCTAACAAGTTTATCAGAAAAAGACTAATATATTTAAATTAGGAAACAGATAAATACCATGGTGAACATAAAAACCTGGGTGAGAGTATCTAATATAAGTGTGAACTTGTGAAAGATAAAGGGTAGTTGAGTTTAGAAGAAAGTTAGATATACATGATTTTATCGTACATGCGGGTGAGCTATTCTTATGTATATCTATACATAGATATCAAAAAAAATAGAAAAAAATAATGATAATATCATTTTTTTTTTATAATATCATAAAATGTGTTTTATTGACCACTGGTGTGCCTGCCATTGCAATTATTTTAAAAAGTCCGATGCTCTAGTACTGTTGCATTTGTCTTATTTGTTGTATGATTGAGTACTTGGAAAGAGGCGCTTAAGGATAGATTCATGTACATACTGGATTGAGATGAAACGTTAAAAAAANCAGGGTGAGAGTATCTAATATAAGTGTGAACTTGTGAAAGATAAAGGGTAGTTGAGTTTAGGAGAAAGTTAGATATACATGATTTTACCGTACATGCGGGTAAGCTATTCTTATGTATATCTATACATAGATATCAAAAAAAATAGAAAAAAATAATGATAATATCATTTTTTATTTTTATAATATCATAAAATGTGTTTTATTGACCACTGGTGTGCCTGCCATTGCAATTATTTTAAAAAGTCAGATGCTCTAGTACTGTTGCATTTGTCTTATTTGTTGTATGATTGAGTACTTGGAAACAGGCGCTTAAGGATAGATTCATGTACATACTGGATTGAGATGAAACGTTAAAAAAAAAAAAGGATAATGTTTCTTTAATAATAATTTTTTTCTTTCAAGGTGTACCATTACAATTATAATACCAGCAGGTGTGTACAAGTTTATTGTCAACTTCTAGAACAGCAGAGTAGGTTCACCATTAAAAATAGCGTTGGATGTCTGCAGTTATTAATTAATGCTGGCTTTTAACTTCCAGGATGGCCCCACCCAGAAAAATATGGGACTAAGGCTGGTTTTTTGGCCCATTATCCTGGGCCAGAACATATCTTTGTGTTCCAGTATTACTTTTAAACTTCATGAACATGACCCCGGCAAAAAACCCAGGCCCAGGTCCATCTCAGCCCATATCCGGTCCGCTTTTTTAAGGTACTAACCTAGTTAGTAGCTAGCCCTTTACATGTATTGGTCCTTGTTAACAATAAGGCTGGGCATGAAATTGGTAAGCTGGACAAAAATATAAAGTCCAAATCCAATCTCCAGAAACAGTTCAAGTAATAATAGAAACTAATTATNCGTAGTTAGTAGCTAGCCCTTTACATGTATTGGTCCTTGTTAACAGTAAGGCTGGGCATGAAATTGGTCAGCTGGACAAAAATATAAAGTCCAAATCCAATCTCCAGAAACAGTTCAAGTAATAATAGAAACTAATTATAAATTCAAACATATTGACTTCGAAACTTGACAACCTTTTAGGGTTAGGTCATGAGGAACTTGTCCCTCATAAATACTCTAATACTGACATGAATGACCTATTTTTTACCAAATTAAAAAAAAGATTAGTCGAAATACGTTTAAACTAACTCAAACATCCGTAACAAAAAAAAAAAAAAAGGGCAATGAGGTTTCCATACTCTTATTACTCTATGGAAAGATGTAACCTATCATTTTGATATAGTTGTTCTAAATGTCTACCCTTAAACTGCCCAATCTTTTAGTAGTGCTCCAAGCAATCACCCCAATATAAAGTTTTACTGTGGTGGTAGAACCAAAAAAACGTGTCTCTCAAACTTGTTTGAGAGCTGTGTAACTACAAAGTCAGTCGGTGTTGCAGACTAAAAATAACGTGAAACAGTGTCTTATACTCCAGCAAACAATTTTAAGTGTTTAGTATGACAAAGAAAATGAATTCCCACAGATTCAGGGGCATAATATCTAATATCAGCTAAAAGTAGCATGACACTAAACTAGAAGCTATGTTATACGCAAGGGCGTAGACAGAAATCTTCTCCAAGGGAGGTAACAATATTCAAAATTTTAAATATTCACAAAAATATANTACTGAAATTTTAAGAGAAATTAACACTACAAGCACATGTCAGTTCATGAAACTTCATACACTTGATCCCAATTTGAAGAAATTATATAATCTGGACATTAATGCCTCACCTAACCCAATTGTATATTCTAACAAGTTTATCAGAAAAAGACTAATATATTTAAATTAGGAAACAGATAAATACCATGGTGAACATAAAAACCAGGGTGAGAGTATCTAATATAAGTGTGAACTTGTGAAAGATAAAGGGTAGTTGAGTTTAGGAGAAAGTTAGATATACATGATTTTACCGTACATGCGGGTAAGCTATTCTTATGTATATCTATACATAGATATCAAAAAAAATAGAAAAAAATAATGATAATATCATTTTTTATTTTTATAATATCATAAAATGTGTTTTATTGACCACTGGTGTGCCTGCCATTGCAATTATTTTAAAAAGTCAGATGCTCTAGTACTGTTGCATTTGTCTTATTTGTTGTATGATTGAGTACTTGGAAACAGGCGCTTAAGGATAGATTCATGTACATACTGGATTGAGATGAAACGTTAAAAAAAAAAAAGGATAATGTTTCTTTAATAATAATTTTTTTCTTTCAAGGTGTACCATTACAATTATAATACCAGCAGGTGTGTACAAGTTTATTGTCAACTTCTAGAACAGCAGAGTAGGTTCACCATTAAAAATAGCGTTGGATGTCTGCAGTTATTAATTAATGCTGGCTTTTAACTTCCAGGATGGCCCCACCCAGAAAAATATGGGACTAAGGCTGGTTTTTTGGCCCATTATCCTGGGCCAGAACATATCTTTGTGTTCCAGTATTACTTTTAAACTTCATGAACATGACCCCGGCAAAAAACCCAGGCCCAGGTCCATCTCAGCCCATATCCGGTCCGCTTTTTTAAGGTACTAACCTAGTTAGTAGCTAGCCCTTTACATGTATTGGTCCTTGTTAACAATAAGGCTGGGCATGAAATTGGTAAGCTGGACAAAAATATAAAGTCCAAATCCAATCTCCAGAAACAGTTCAAGTAATAATAGAAACTAATTATAAATTCAAACATATTGACTTCGAAACTTGACAACCTTTTAGGGTTAGGTCATGAGGAACTTGTCCCTCATAAATACTCTAATACTGACATGAATGACCTATTTTTTACCAAATTAAAAAAAAGATTAGTCGAAATACGTTTAAACTAACTCAAACATCCGTAACAAAAAAAAAAAAAAAAGGCAATGAGGTTTCCATACTCTTATTACTCTATGGAAAGATGTAACCTATCATTTTGATATAGTTGTTCTAAATGTCTACCCTTAAACTGCCCAATCTTTTAGTAGTGCTCCAAGCAATCACCCCAATATAAAGTTTTACTGTGGTGGTAGAACCAAAAAAACGTGTCTCTCAAACTTGTTTGAGAGCTGTGTAACTACAAAGTCAGTCGGTGTTGCAGACTAAAAATAACGTGAAACAGTGTCTTATACTCCAGCAAACAATTTTAAGTGTTTAGTATGACAAAGAAAATGAATTCCCACAGATTCAGGGGCATAATATCTAATATCAGCTAAAAGTAGCATGACACTAAACTAGAAGCTATGTTATACGCAAGGGCGTAGACAGAAATCTTCTCCAAGGGAGGTAACAATATTCAAAATTTTAAATATTCACAAAAATATATTTTTATTAATAGAACTTCAATTAAAGGTACAACTCATATACATGAGCGACGTAGAAAAAGAGCCAACAAAAAAAAAATCACTATAAATTTATCTATAAGAACTAACAAAAAAAATTTGAAAAAAAAAATTGAGTTCAATCATATATTGAGTTTATAATGAGAAAATCCAAATTGTCAAACATCCTATAAATATTCATAGTTGCTCCTAAAGAGTTTTCATATTTTTAAAGTGTTGTATAATAATTTCATTATCCATGGTACTTAAAATTATTTTCTCGACATATATAACCAAGCAATTGTTCATCCATTGATCTCTCATTCAATTGCTCAATTAATTTTTTAAAGATTAATTAGTTCAGTCACACACTTAGTATTCATCAATGAATTTTAACAAATAATAGAAACTAACTTAAACTATCACTATTCTATTAAACTAAACCTAGGTATAGGAATTACTTAACATATCACAATAAAATTATTCAAACCACCAAATCAAAACAATTTAATCTAACACATAATGGAGGACTATACGCCTCAATTCCAATTCAACATAAAAATAANCATATCACAATAAAATTATTCAAACCACCAAATCAAAACAATTTAATCTAACACATAATGGAGGACTATACGCCTCAATTCCAATTCAACATAAAAATAAAACACGAGAGGATTACAAGCCCCAAAATCAATTAAATATCTAAAAAATAAATCATAAAAGATGACTACAAACCCCAATTTCAACATATAAAAATAAATAGAGGACTACAAACCTCAATTTCAATTCNAATATCTAATATCAGCTAAAAGTAGCATGACACTAAACTAGAAGCTATGTTATACGTAAGGGCATAGACAGAAATCTTCTCCAAGGGAGGTAACAATATTCAAAATTTTAAATATTCACAAAAATATATTTTTATTAACAGAACTTCAATTAAATTAAAGGTACAACTCATATACATGAGCGACGTAGAACAAGAGCCAACAAAAAAAAAACTCACTATAAATTTATCTATAAGACCTAACAAAAAAAGATTTGAACAAAAAAATTGAGTTCAATCATATATTGAGTTTATAATGAGAAAATCCAAATTGTCAAACATCCCATAAATATTCATAGTTGCTCCTAAAGAGTTTTCATATTTTTAAAGTGTTGTATAATAATTTTATTATCCATGGTACTTAAAATTATTTTCTCGACATATATAACCAAGCAATTGTTTATCCATTGATCTCTCATTCAATTGCTCAATTCATTTTTTAAAANTATTTTCTCGACATATATAACCAAGCAATTGTTTATCCATTGATCTCTCATTCAATTGCTCAATTCATTTTTTAAAAATTAATTAGTTCAGTCACACACTTAGTATTCATCAATGAATTTTAACAAATAATAGAAACTAACTTAAACTATCACTATTCTATTAAACTAAACCTAGGTATAGGAATTACTTAACCTATCACAATAAAATTATTTAAACCACCAAATCAAAACAATTTAATCTAACACATAATGGAGGATTATACGCCTCAATTCCAATTCAACATAAAAATAAAACACGAGAGGATTACAGGCCCCAAAATCAATTAAATATCTAAAAAATAAATCATAAAAGATGACTACAAGCCCCAATTTCAACATATAAAAATAAATAGAGGACTACAAACCTCAATTTCAATTCAATACATAAAACAATAAAACACAAAGAGAGCTACAAGCCCAATAATTTTTTTAAAACTTTTTAATGGGGGCAAATGTCTAATAAATTCTAAATTTTTTAAAATTATACTTACACCCCACATTTTTGTGAATCCGCCGCTGGTTATACGGAATAAACATAAAGTTCCGGACGCAACACTAGATGACTAGGATGAATAAACAAAATATGTCTTAATACTATAAGATTAAAATGTGCTAGACCCACAAGAAACAAGATGAATTGTTGTATTGATGTCTATACTGAGTCAACATGCATCTAATGTAAATATTTCATAGGACTAGAGGAACAGTTCCACAAACCTTTCTGAACACAAGTATTTTCACTTCACTTCTCCAGCAAAAAACATTACGAAGTAAACTCTCTTAACCAACAAAGTTATAGATCATTCAGGTAGGACACAGAGAAAGAGATTCATAGTTTCCGGATCAGATACCTCAAATACCCAACCCTCAGTCAAAGTTATCTATTTTGATGGGAGTGATTTCATCTGCCACCTTGAATTGACCCACCAATCGCGCCAAAAACACCATTTGCTGTTCCAGTGTGAACTTAATGTTTTCAGCCTGTGTGCATCACAACTTAGTTAGTGCTATAGTTTCCCCCGAAGAATAAATTCGATTATTAATCATGAGCATATAAACCTTGCGAAAACCATGTTGCTCTCCTTCATACTCCACAAGAGCAACGGGCAACCCTTTTTCCTTCAATGCATGATAGATTTTACGTGCTTGCTCAGGGGGGACAACCTGCATCATGTGGGCAGGTTATTAACATTTTTTTTTATCAAAAGGTTATTAACATTCAAAATCAGCATTGTCAAGACAACCATAGACATAAATCTGAAGTTTAGTGATTCATATACATGCCCATCAGTACAAGCTTGTTTTCAATGAAGGCTGAAATAATCTTAAGGCACACNAATCTGAAGTTTAGTGATTCATATACATGCCCATCAGTACAAGCTTGTTTTCAATGAAGGCTGAAATAATCTTAAGGCACACAAAGGAAAGGGGAAATTTGGAAAAGAAACACTGTAAAATGTGGATTTGAAGAACGAAATTCAAGAAAATTGGACCCTAAGCCTCTTGGCATGAAAAGTTCTCTCCATGATCCACTAAATTTTCTTTGCTTACGTAATAGTTTGACCTTCAAATAATCAAACATATTGTTATAATTTACATTAATAACTGCCTACTACTTCCTTTTTGAGTTTTACGGTACATCTGTTTGTAGAAGACGACAAACAACGGAATTATGTGACATAGGGAAATGGATTGGGGATACATGGATTTAAAAAGAATCAAATTTGTTTAAAGTTTGTATAAGAAACAGAAGCAACTAGATGTACAAGTATATTTCTGAAAGACGAAAATGATAAAGGCAATCAAAATACCCGAATTATGATACAGGCAGCTGCTAAGTCACAGAAGAATGTAACTCCAAGGCTTTTTGAAATCAAATTACACAAGAATATGAAAGCATCACAGACTGGTCAATGGCACTGCTGAACGAGTGACCTGGTGTCAACTGAACTGGTCGTATGATTGAAACACTAAAATCTCTTCCACCTCGGACAGAATTAAAACACGTAGATTCTGAATGAACACAATATCGGCCATTCAAAATCCAAACCAAGTCTGAATCCGACTGTGATTAGTCACTCCTATTGAACAATAGGGATGACCACAGTATTGAATTGGAATCTGTGACATCATAGGCTTAGATGTAGTATATAGATATTCCCACCAGTGTTCATATGGTTACTCAATAAACCTCTAATCTCTCCTCAAACTGCAATGTTACAAGCAAAATTTAACCCAAAAAAAGAGTCAAGAAACAATGATGTATATACCTTGTCCTCCAATCCCTGGAATAAAATTATGGGGCAAGAGAACTTATCAACAAAATTAATGGGCGACCTCTCAAAGTAATCATTTTCTCCTCCTGCAACCAGTGTCAAAAGGTTGCCTCAATGCTATATTAAGTGAATACAATAAACAAGAATAAAATGAAATTAAATAATTACCAACAAGATTATCAAGATAGTGAGATTCAAATTTGTGAGTTTCAGCTCTCAATAATTTTAAGTCAGCTACCTGTGCGTTGAACAACAAAGCAAAGAACTGTTAGTGAACTATACAAATGGAAGGATCTCTAATCTTAGCTTTTCGCAAAAGAACTAATCATTTGACTGTAACAAGTACAAAGTCAAAAAATTTCACGTCAAACAAGATTCGAATAATGCACTCATCAGCCAACATCCCGGATGGGCATATACTAAGTGCACAAACTCACCGAGTTGGAGAATTTATCTCCTCCACATTTCCTAGAGACACCCATAATTCAACAACATTGGCTGTAACAAATCTAATAAAGTCGCTTTTCTTCATCACGTTATAACAAATGTATCATAGAGAGCCAAATGAGAATTTGAAAAAACAAAAAATAATGCTAAAGTAAAACAGTGTTATAAGGATATATTCAGACACTCACACCATACAATGAAGCTCCAGCCTTAAATGTCTCTCTGAAAGCAAGTGCAGCCAGTGTGGTGTACCCACCAGCAGAGCCCCCAGTAATACATAGTCTTTCTTCATCTACCTTTCCACTATCCACCTGGAGTACCAGACATATATCACAACTGGAGCAACATTCTAGCCAGATCCCAAAAATTAAAAACAATATTCTAGCAAATCCATCTATCACTAAGTTGAAGACAATTACAAAAATTTGAAGTATGATTACCAAAAAATTAGCACAACTGCAACAGTCATTAACATCAATGATTCCCCATTGTCCCAAAAGCCTTTCTCTATATTCTCTACCATAACCTTCAAAGTAGAATTTAAGCCATCCTTAGCATCAGATATGAGAAGTCCAATATAAGTTGAAAGAGTTTATTTCTAGCTTACAACAACCGTAATTAGGGTCCAACAGGCAAATTTGAAAACAAGAAGGAATAATTAGTCCTTGTCTAGACTATAGAAAATGAATTGCTTTAAATGTTTTATCCAACTTGGATTGGACAATAGTCAGATCCTGTCAACATTATGTTTCAAATTTTTAGTCTACAGATATAAAATGATAGAATAAAGGACATACCAGTGCTTCCACCATAATTCACATCCACAAATGCCCAACCACGACTGGTCCAATACTGGATGGAAAGATTTAATATTCCACGTGTCTCAGCTGTAGGCCCTCCTGCAAAATTGAACACACCACAATATCTATTACATCTTTGATAAGCAACTAGTCTATTTTTTCAAGACAATTATAGTAGTAAATCATTGGTTCAATATTTTAGCTAAAGTTGTCCAGTCAAAAGCAAGCAACATTAAGTGCTTCAGAATTCATTCTGTAAACAAAACAAAAAAGATGGGAGAGTAATGATTTGAAAACTAAAAAATCAGCAAGTCCCTGGAGTATAATGGGACAAAGATTCCACCAAAACTGATCATTGAGAAATTTAAATCCACCTTTCACAACTAAGTCATCATAGAGCCAATGTCAATCAAGCTATGCAAGGAGATATATAGCTATTTCAAAGAGCTATAATCCACCAACAACGAGATCCCAAAAATATAGCAACCATCAAACACATATACCCATCCGTCCGCCACTCCTATATATGCTACGAAGCATAGAGTACATTCAAAGCCAGAATACCATGCTTTGGGGATTGCTGCAATTAATGTTGTCCAAGAAGGGACATGGAAGCAGGAGATAAAGTTCATATTGTAGAGGGCCCCATAGCTGGAGCTGCCACCTGAAAATTGTGGCCACATCACATTCTTCAAACCAGCTCTTCCATAGGGCTTTTATCATTTGAAAGAAGTGTGGAGGCAGAAGTGAAACACCGGAGAAGAAGCTATAATGTAGAACCGTTGGCCATGAGAGTTTGGTACCATTGGCATCAGCAAGAATCACTGGTCAGGAATGATCAAATATAGATCTACAGTCATAAGCTCATGGGAAAATGCATGCCTACAAATCTTAGGTACCCGGCATACTGTGAAGATGGTGGATAATTCTATATCAAATATCCAGCTTTTGAAAATACACCAGTCTTGACCAAATCTTTACATGTATTAGTCTTCTGGAATATGCTCTATATGTTGTTAAAAATAACATAATAATAACCTCGAACATCTAATGACCACTATGCCGTTCAAAACCATCTTAGCAGCTAACCTACTGCAATATTTTTGCTAAGAACACCACAGTTGCAGTGTCTCGCAATTAGTGCTCACAAACGAACAGGGTTGGATGGTTCAATAGCGGGCTGGGTATAATCCAATTCCACCACCTCTACTGCCACAAGGACAGAAGAAAAGAGATAATTTGGGGGTCAGAGAAGTGGTTGCTGCCTTATCTGCTACCACCAAATTCAAGCTTGCAAGTTGCACTTCTGTCAAGTAGTGCTTATTATCCTGCTAGTTTGCATTACATACATTAGATTCTAAAATTCCAAAGTGCATATCCCGCGTTTATACATTGACTTTATTGGCTTGTATGTTATGAACTCCTAAAAAAACCAATGAAAAAGTTCATCACAATATCTAAAAAGCTCATGGACCAGATTTTTTAACGTTGCCTTAGTTCAACAAAATATATAGTAAGCTCATGGACCTGAATAAAAATGTTGGTAGTGGTGCATTTCCAACCCACCGTAACCAGTTCAATTAAAATATGTCAAGCAACTGATTCGACGTTGATGCAATTCAATGAAATAAAACATCTCGAGTTTGACATGGTCAATATAAATCGAAGAAAACCACCTCACATACCATGGCTCCTCAATAGCAATGGAGGTTTTTCTTCTGGACTAGCTTGATAAAGGGGGTTGGTCGGTGGGTAGAAGTATGCATAGGCATTTTTACCAGGAATTTCTGTTGGAAATTTGATCAATTCGGGCAAGCTAAAGTATGATTTGTACTTTTTACTACTTGGTGAGGAAGACCAAATAATCTTGAAATCCACTGCCTTTGATTTCTGATCATCTAAAGCCACCTGATACACAGCAGAGGAATGCTGAGAAACACAAATAGAACTTATGGTGAATGGTGATAGGAAACTCTCAATAGCAGCATCCCCAGAAATAAAAAGGATGATCATATTGGAATATGAAGAACCAAAACCTTAGCTATTGATAGTGGATGGGTTGCAGAAGCTCCTTCAACATATAGGCAATGAAACCCTGAAGTCTGCATAAGCATGTATCCACATCTTACTAAATGGCCATCATGTTATCAACTAGAGAAGCTTTTATGGGCAACCCAGTGAAAATAAGGATTTGTGAGATTACAATATTAATTATGTCTGTGAAAGGAATATCAAGCGTGGTTAACGTTCCCCGATCATCATCCAGAATTCCAAGGTATGACCTCCCATTCTGCCTGCTTGCAACATCCACAGCTCTTTAAGGTTAAAGACTTGCAAATAGAAAAAAGGCCAAATTCCAAACATTTAATGAAATACTTCATAGAGAAAGAATGTAAAGACAATATATATTTCAAAGTCACCTGTAACTGCAAGCAAATAAGTTCTTTTGCCCATGACTCTGAACAAATTCATAAGAATTCATCCCAAATACCCATAAAGGCCTTGCAAACTCAGCATCCAAGGAATAAACTGGCAGCACCTGATTATCGGAGTCAATCTGTTCACAAAGAAAAAAGATGTGATCAATCCCAAGAAACTTCAAAGTTAGGGAAAGGGAGAGATTAAATAATGTTTAACGAAACAATTTTGAAGCAAACAAAAAGAAAGAAAGAAAGAAAAATACTTTCTCCTATTAAAGGAGAATGCATGACTTTGCAGATGTGATGCTTACTTCCTCCGGCCATTGGTTGTTTCAATCTCCAACTTTTATTCAGGACCCACATTACAAATTTTTTTTGTTTTCTCTGACAAAAAGATTGCAGAATCATATCATATCACACAGACAATCTTCCACTTTTCAACCATAGCAGCATATACCAACTAATAGTACATACTACATAGACCAACTCAACTCAACAAAATTTTGTCTCAACTACTTGGATTGACTCTATTAATCTTGTTCCGACATTGTGCCCTATCAAGACTAAATGCCCCTGCTCCTCGTACTTCGTTCTACTAGCACATATACCCCATTCAATAATTGCATAACCTCTAGAATGGTTTTCCGGTTGATCCAAAGGGAGTAAACATGAAGATTTCCAAGAAGTTAATCCATGGGCATTTAAAAAAATGCTAATGATAAGATGTGTTCATACATGTTTGACAAATTAAAATATTGACATCAGGCTCATGTAAAGGAATATAATCACGAAAAATAGTATCAGTTGTCAAGACATATACTAGGGGGTATCTCCAAGCAAATATAACATTCTGAGATGAAGCATGAGGTTACCCATTTATAGAGATTCCAGAACCCACTTTTTCTATCAGTAATGAAGAATAGTTCGCCTGTAGTCACAAACATATCATATGAGTATACACCATATACGGCTTTGGTTCATGAAAAGAATGTGGAAACTCTGAATTATAAATCAAGTCATCTCATTCTCAAAAACTGATGCTAAATTTAAGGCATTATATATCCACATAGAATCAACTATCTATATTATTCTATAAGACCAACTACTTGTAAATGATGAAGGAGACACAAATTTCAACACATGACTTTTAAATCGATCCTTACCTTTAATTACAAGACTAGTTATTCAGAAAACATAAAGCATCACTTGTCAATTTAATCCTTCTCCTTAGTTGCAAAATTGTTCAAGCTAGTAGTAAAATTTACCTTGAGAGGACCACTTGGGTTCGGTCGGAGACTCCACGAGAGTTGGATCACCACCAGCAACACATATGCGATTGTTGATATCCCTGCATGATTAGCATTAGAGAATCTGATGAAAACGGATGGCACAAACATAAAGAGCATATATAAATTCTGAAAAGTTTGCGGAAAGCAATTTTTTCATCCAGAAAAAAGATCCTCAACATGCTACAAGTCTTTGATGGGACTTTTATGCACTTTCGGGAATATGTAGAGACTGGAGTAACTAGCGGGTACAGAAAGAGTAAGATGGGTGCAGGGTACCAGTGTTGGATGGGATAATTTAACTATGAGACAACAAAATTCAGTTAATACAACTAAGTGAAATAATAGAAAAATTCATTGGCCTTGCCGATACTAGAGAAGAGCATGCAGACCAGATAGAGATTGACTGTGACGAATCATATTTTGTGCTTTGCTATATTGTTTGAGCCACTCTCTCACTTGATAGGTACAGGTCAGAGTTCAAAGTAGTAGTGCGTTAGTAGTGACTGAAAAATGTCAACAAAAGTGCTCTGGGGATAAACATTATGTCATATCACTAAAACTGGAGTAAAAGAAGTAGCATATTAAGTTAACTAAAAAAATAGCTTAGTCAGTATGGAATCTCAAAACATAACCCATGCTGCCAGTTGACTCATGGAATTCATTGAGTTGAGATTGAGATGGAGCAACAACTCATGAACAAGGATTCAGTAGCTAAAATCAAAAGTGCGAAATGGCAGCAAAGAGTCAATGAGTTGATAGGTTTCAGTTACGAGGTTCAGACACCAATGTTATGATATTAGCAACTGAACTTATTGTATTCCAATTAGAAACTCTGAGACATACGACATTCACCTGGCAAAACATTTACATATTAGTGACATTTCTTTTCCCATATACACAGACCAAAATATACTAATGATCAAGTAGGCAAAAAGAATTTACATCTGCAAAGTTAAAATCACTGGAGATGTAAGGGATCCAACTTACCCATTTTCAGAAAGATAGCCAACCCAAAGTTCGGATCTATCCCATGGCATATTTGGGTGGCCCCATTCAATCCATGCTATTCGTTCTCCTTTGGGATCCATACGGGGGAAGGCATAAAAGTCATTGCCACCAACTAATACTTTTGGTTCTGTATACCCAATGAAGCATTTCATATGATACACATAAAAGAAGACAATGATCATCATCCCTCAGCAGATAATAACAAAACCAAACTGATAATAATAAAGTAGGGTTGAATCATGTTAAAAAACCCAACCCCATTAAAAAAGTAGATACACAAACATTTGATCCAATATGTGGTACAAATTTAGCCAAGCATAAAGGTGCAACATTCACTTCCCCACACCTCAATTTTTTTAAAAAAGAAGGAAATTAATTTCATCAAGAAATTCTTACCTTGGATGTTGTTATTGCTGAGGTCTACTGATACAATAGTTGTGGTTGGGTTCAAACTACTCTCACGGCGATCTATTAAGATGAAATGTAATAACTGAATCAATAAATAAATAAGTACTTAACGAAAGGAAATAATTAGCACAGAGTCTTTAAAAAGGGAAATATTGGCCCTTGAAGGATGAGCAGTACATTGATAGTGTACCTTCCCTAACAGTAACATAACGGTTATTGCGTGAATCAAACACTCCATCCGCATAACACACAATTGGTCCACCATAATCAGGAGTAAGCGGCACCAGAGTAGAATCTGCCACATAAAAACTTAATGCGAATCTTTTATCCTAAAGGAAAATCACACAAAAGTAGGTTTGATAAATTCAGGTGTGCACAACATGCAAGAAATAAAAAAATCTTCCCTTACACAACCATGCCTTAATAACCGAACCAAAAAACTTGGCAATTATTCAAATATCAACCTTCCCATGAACAAAACCACAATGATAGATCAAACATTGAAGCAAGCACAATGCAAGAATTAAAAGGATCAACCCATGTCCATATGAATTACCAAGAAAGTGAAAATTTGCAGGGGAAAAAGTGGGGACCTTCAGAACTAATTGACTGCTTGTACAATCTTTGATCCTTGTAATTTGAGAAAATCACAGTATCCCCATAAATACTGAATGCACCACCTCCGTATTCTTGAGCCACAGTCCTCACCGCGAACTCCTTCGGCGTAATATCAATCGGTTCATCCCCAGGTTTCTCTGCTTCTTTAACAAGGACCACCCGTCTAAAAAAAAAAAAAAAGACTCAAATCTTTAGGGTTGATAGTATATATCCCAAAAATTGTACTCATATGAAAACGATCGATTGGTAAGTAGTATCGTCTATACTTGATATTATACGTACCCTGATTCGGTGGGGCGGGATTCGAGCCAGAAAAGGTGGCCGAGGGAGTCAACGGCGGTGCCTCCGAGGCGTTTTTCAGCGCCAGAGACGACGTCGGCGGTGATGGGAGACTTCCAAGAACCGTAGGGTAAAGTGAGCTTCTGTTGAGGTCCTTCGGTTGGTGATGGTGATAATGATGTTGTTTTGGAAGCCATTCTCTTCCAACCTTGGTGTTGGCTGTGTCTCTTGATGATTAGTCTAGCGATAGTATGGAATGAGGTCTTTACAGACCATATGGGTATGGGGTAGCAGCGAGTGAAATTGGCTGTGGCCGAGGAGAGTGCCATCTATGGGCTTAGTTTCTTGCCGTTGGGTTTTCAGGATATCCGACTCAATGACTTGCGGTTCAAGAGAGTTTTTTTAACCGCTAGCTTTTAATTTTATTATTTTCTCTTTCCAATTTTTAAACTATTTGTTTCTTTTTTTATGTTTAAACATTTTTTTTTGAACTGGTGTTTTAATAATTTAAATTCACATTTTTTAATATAAAAACAGACTTATCAAATATTAAAGCTAACAAAGTTAAACTCAATTTATAAAAACATAATAATTATCAAAATTAATTTAATTTTTATCTACTTTAATACAAAATTCATCTTCTCTGTACCCCTTCTTGTGATTTACAAACAATAAAAACAGCACCATAGGATGTAGCTGGAATTTAATTTTTAATTTAAGTTTTTACATTGTCTTAATAAGTAAAAAGTACAAGCACCAGTTAGGAGGTGAATCATACAATTCTCAAATGAAAAGTTATAGAAATCAAACACCTAGATTTTTTTATTTTTTTTTCTACGGGGTTTTCAAACTTACATTAACTACTCTCTCGAGCGCTAAGTTAGTCATCGTAACTCGAGCTAGTTTAAAGACATGTCCTCTAAAAAATAAGTGGTTGGACCTTAGAGGGTGTAAGAAATATCGAATTTAAGATCTCTTATTTACAAGAGGGCAGACTTAACCACTGGATCACCCTTAAAAATTACCAACACCTAGATTTATATCCAGTAAAACAGCAACAAAACTAGCCATTTCTCAAGAATAATCAATAAAGACAGATTGTTCATACATTAAGCTATAAAAACATTGTATTTAACCGACAATTGGTTTACATTACTGCAAAATTATCGCTCTTCTTGTTGGGTCGTTCAATCAAACTATGAAGTTAATTAGCCAACTTGTATCACAAAGATGCAGAATTCTGAAGGTATTCTTGACAGATTAACCAGAATTGCTGTCACCTCCGAAGGCAGTCTCAAGAAACCCAGTTTTGTTGAGATGGTCAATGTTATTCCACGTTTTTACGATCCATTTTTCACTGGATATGTGAAATATGCTAACAGATGCATTTAATATCTTTTCCTGCAAATTTAGTGTTGGATTAGCTCGTCTGTGAAGTGCCCGCAGAACTCCGCCATGAGTAACCACTACCACTCGCTTACCTGAAACAAAACAATAGTACCAAGGAATGGGAGGACATAGAGGGTTAGATAACTTTAGATCACATTTTCATCCACTTTACTGTAGCATATCGTCAGGAGTACAACATCAATTAAAGAAAAACTTCTGAAATGGCATAGTCTAATGGCCACCACATGCGTACAACTATCTTTTCAAGTGCATAGACTGAACATATCCTACGTTTCCAGAGACCATAGCCTACTCTTTTTTCCTATAATTCTATTACTTGAACCATAGTGGATATCCGAAAATGATTATGCATTAATGTTGAATTTCATGATCCAGATCAGGAATGGTGAGGAAGGATTTTCACATGCAATAGGACATTTGCTGGACAGGCATGGGCATTCAACACAGACAATGCAAAGAAGATAATCTGGGATACAACTAGAAAGAATATAAACTGAGATATATGCTTCCTTCAGTGCAACAAGCATGAATGATAAATATTAAAGAAGAAAATTTAAGTAATATGAAGTAATCTAAACAACTTGAAGCTTTCTGTAGGTATAGCAGAGGTGGAAAAAATCGGAGGAAAAATACCTATATGCTTCATGGCAATCCTCTCCAGAGAAGATGTGCACCGGTGATAAAGTTGATCAAAACTTTCTCCACCACCCTGAATATCGCCAAAAGAAAAAGTTGCCATCAGTCCCACCAAATCCCTTCATACTAACAGCAAGAAAAAGAAAAACATCAATAAGATCATTCAAATATTGTTGCACTGATGTCACTTTTACTGAACCAATAGCTTCAACAAACAATCAAACTTCATCCTGGTCTAGGACATGGGCAACAACTCACCGGGATTTCTTGATCTGTTCTGGAAGAAGTGCATGCTTCATAATCATTAGGCTTAAGATTGGCTACCTCATGTGATGTTAGACCTTGAAGATTTCCAAGATGTCTTTCCCTGAGGTCTGGATCTTGTATAATCTGAATATATTAGTGATTTGATGAATAGGATACATGGATGTAATGTAAGGTTAATAGATAATTCACAGACAAACAATCAATTGTGGTTGCCTTGGTAACATTCTCTAAGTAACACTCTTAGCTCGATTTTGTACCAACATCATAATAATCAAGTTTATCCTCCCATGAAATTCTACTAGATGCTTATTGTTCATTATTGATTACTCTTCCTCTAATTTTTTTTAACTCTTTTGATCAACCCCTCCCTTCCACTCCCCCAGCCCAGGGAATGTATCTTAATAACCCTAATGACAAAAGAGGTGCACACAAACAAAGTTTATGCCAAATGTTACCTCGGGAACACCACAGCTGCTTGCCATAACCTGGGCAGTTTCCAGAGCTCGCTTCAGATCCGAAGAGTATACAGCAGAAACTGCAGACTCCTTAGAGAGTCGATCAGCCACCTTTAGAAAAATGAGGCACTTTATCAAGCACGTGTTCATATAGTTGCATAGACAATCAAACTTACACAACTTACTGCAGCAGCTTGCTTTCTCCCAACTTCATTCAATTCAACATCCAGGTGTCCCTAAATATTGATCATAGATCCAAGGAGGTAAAATACCCAACAAAAAGGATAACAGAATTAAAAAAAAAATGTCAACCATCAATTATGCCCTACGCAAAAATTGTTTTGGGTTTTTTGGGTTGAAAACAAAGAGATATAAGACAAGGAAATTCTTATTTACTAATGAATAAAAACAGCACTGAGCTGCATAAAAGACAGCAACATTTCCACAACGAAAAAAAAATGACCCCCCCCAAAAAAAAAAAATAAATAAATAAGAAGAGAAAGAAGATAAGCTAATCATAAGCTTAAGGTTTGATTGCTTATTAACTCCAAATTCACACCACCTTCTTTTCCAACCCTATCGAACCGAAAATGGTAAAAGTGTATTAGAAACAATACATTAGTCGTACTTCTACTACAAACCAAATCCAGACCAAGAAAAAGGAACAGAAGAGATATTTTGGTAATGTGTATCAGAAACAATACATTAGTCATAATTTTAAGAGTCGGCACCGATACTGACGCATGACTCAGCCGAGTCAGTTTTGAGTCTCCGAATTATCGTCACCGAAATGGCCAATACCATTCCACGATATGACCTGAATCTCTTACTATGTTTAACTTCTTCTTTTAAATAGAATTGCCAAATATTGGGACGCGACCCAGAGTCCTCCTAGTCAATAGTCATGACTACAAACCCAATCCTGACCAAGTTGTGTCCAAGTTAATGTAATAAACCATTATGGGTTAACACATTCATCTCATTGTTTCTTTAACATGTCCATATTAAAAAGGTTTGCACTTGACATCAAGAACTATCTTCATTTAGTGTGCCCTATTAGTAGAATTGTGCGACCTTGTACCTGCCTTTTTCTTTCTTTTCCCTTGCATACTCGAAAAATCTAACTTTTGGAAGGGTGATGGCGACTTGTAAGCCCCATCACACATTGAAACTCAAGCAGGATGTGTGAAAAAAAAAAAGGTCTTAACTTAGTAAAGTTACAAGCAAGACCACACATTGAAGTCCAAGCAATTTGTGTTAAGAGGACCTATCCTTTGGAAGACTAATTGATGAAAGTTTATAGCCAACCAAACCCAATCAAAATGTCTGTGGATTGGACTTCTACCCCACATGCATGTGCCTATGTATTTGCTATGTCCGATAATGAATCAGACAAGACAACAGAAAATTATATTTGTTATGTACATATACTCCTAATCATGTTTAACGGATGCCGACAAAGAACCAGTTAGAAAAAGTGAAAGAATTTCTCTTAATGGTATTAGGAGTAGGAATAGATCTAAATTAATATTGAACGAAATAATAAGAAAAGATATGAAAATATTTATCATATGATTAGAATGTAAGGCTTAGTTTGGTTGGGTGGGTTGATTGGTTGGTTGGTATATACTCCTAGTGGCTCTCACCTTAGCAAATCATCAAACAACCTAGATGCAATATATGGGAGGATGGGACGCCTAATTTCGTTAGGGGACAATTCAGTTCAAGAAAACTGGAAATATAAAAGCAAAGTGACACACATTGACAGAACAAGGAAAAGGAAAGGAGACCTGTATTCTTCCATCAACATTCCATTCTGTTTCTCCATGTCGCACCACGATGATCTCGGCATACCCAATTGGCACAGAACCAACCTCAGCACCACCGTTGAAATCAGATTCATCACACATCCCCCTATTCATAAAAAGTTTTAACATAAAAAAAATGAACACAGAGAGGAGAGAGAGAGAGAGAGAGAGAACCTGGGATCGGAGACGGCTGTGGTTGGGTCGGCCATGTTGAAATCAAAGGACATGGGTGTTCCGAGATTTAACGCATTTGGAAAGAGTCCCAAGATCTCTGCGGCCACTGCACGCTAAGAGAAGGGTACAGTACCGCATTCGATGCCATGCCACGTTCAGCCCAGTGGGACTGTGGAATAGCTTCCAATCCATCAGCCTTAGCTAGTGGTGACCATGATAATGGTTCTAAGTCCAGTCCTCAGTGCACCAACATCAACCCAAGAGTTGCTCGAACGGGCGGTAAATTTACACTCGTGAATCTTGATAATCTTTTAGACATTTATATCTTAATTTCGGATCCCTAACTAAATTTATATCTTAGTCTCGGGCCTTTAAGTAAATTGAGGAGGTAATTAATTGAAATTCTTAAAAGTTGGTCTCGACATTTTTGGACCATTAAACCTGACCAAAACCCACCACCAGGTTTTCCTTTTTGATCAAAACATGTAGACTAATTAAATAAACCAATTCAATGGATCATTTGCTTGACTCAATAAGTTTTTTATTGATGAAAATAAATGAGGTGTTTTTCTTTTGGTTTTGTTCAGAAAACATTGCTATTGATTGTGAAATACTATTCAGAAAAAGAATGTATGCCAATTGTGCTTTATATGATTAGTTATTGAAAATCACTAAAGTTAGGAATCATCAGCAAATGCCAAGTTTGGAATTTGATAAAGTTGGTGTCTAACCACAGCCAGATTTATTTAACAAATTCTACTCATTAATTAAAAAAAAAAAAGGAAAATCAATACGCCATTGGTTAATTGATTCTATAATGTGTTGTCTCTACACAAATTAGTTCTCTACATAAATCAGTTCCTACATACGATCACCACTTCGTTATTCCACTTGAAAAATATGCATTTTAGAGTACAAATCATAAAAACAAAGCATCAGAATCAGGTTCCTGAAGGCGGAAGAGAGCCTAACTTCATTATTTTAGGGTCTGTTGGGTGTGTGGGGTGGGTTTGGCGGTGGGGGGCTGGGGCTAACATTGCACAAAACTGGCCCTATGTACTGAAATAAAAGAAAGAGAACTAAACCAGAGAAAATGTTCTGGTTGCCCATATGCTGCCAGAAAGTTTGGGACCTCCAACCTTTTAACAAATAATTGCTTGATAAGATGGGTATTTTTCCTTTTCAAGCTTTGTGGGTCTTCACCAAGATACTAAATATCAAGTTGTCAACTGGAGAGTTCATACTTATCAAACTAATATGCAGTTTAAGTGTAGCATCAAACAGCTAGAAAGCAGACATGTGGAATTGGACCCCTCTTCCAAGCGCAATAATATAAAGGCAACTCAAATTGATTATTGGAAAACCATGTAGTTCAGTACATTTTTCATTAACTTAGGCCAGGGACCAAAAATATAAAGTGTCCTTAAAGTGGATATTGATGGATGTTTTACAGTTCACCATCTATGAAAGATCATAGAAATGTGAAGATCGGCCAAGCTAGAATCATTAAATCAATCTATCATATCATCTAAGTGACCTTTGAGCAATAATTAATCCTCGCTCAACCATTGATGGTTTAAAGCGAGACTTGACACGAGATATATTTATTCTATTATAATGTAATTGTTATTGATTGTGTAATGATAACAATAAACAATCTCTCCCTATACAAGATAAGACTATATATATTTAATCTCTACTAGACACTGCTGAAGTCATTTAGCAATGTGTAGTAGTAGCTTTATGTTGCATCACTGCAAAACCAAACTCTTCTGGTTAGATGGAAAATGGAACCCAGCTTGTTTGTCAATCTCACACGCAAAGTTTGCTAATTTGAGTGTAGCTTTTTGTCCAATCACCCCACATGATAAATAACTAGGCATGTTCAATCAATGGGCCACCACCATGTAACTGAAGAATGGACTAGATGGTCCAAATTGGTGGTGACAAAAATTTCTCAAGTGTGATTGATCTAACATTATTAGTATTTGTATGCATCTAAACTGTCAATATAGTACAAATGACAAGGTTTCAGTGGTTAGTATTTCAATGTCTCAAAACTCTCATAATGTATTATGGTTAAACTCAATATGAGTCATTTATCGGTGTTACACATTCTAGAGATTAATTAAGATCCAAGAAGCGGAACTGTAAATACAAAACTTGTGTGCCTATCTTTAGCAAATTAATTTCCTAGGCCCTGTAGTGTACAAATACCTAGTACAATAACTTAGTGCTGTAATAAAATACATAAAAGAAGACGACTAATGGGACACAATTAATGTGGTTTTGTTAGATGTCATGCTATCATGGTGAAGCCGACACTGCTTTCTCTTTTAGATAACTCATACAATTTTTTTTTTATCAGAAATAATTCGTACAATTGATGGACCTACCTTGGACAATTACAAGCTTTTGTTTGGATAATCTTATATATCAAGTTAGAACGTTTAAGTTTCATTATTCTTATCGCACGTTAGTTACTCAATTGTCACATATCTCACATTCTAAACTACTGAACTCAATGCCATGATTAGTATACTCGACTAATTAAATCCATTAGGCTTGATCTTCGTTCTCATTGCCAAACATGCCTCCATTGAATTGGACTATAGGGTTTTGGAGAAACACTGAGAATTAGTGGTATAGTGAGAGTGATAGAAAGGGAGAGTCACTTGTCGAGCAAACGTGACTTCCCATTTGATGCCAGGAGAAGTGTTTGGGGATAGATGGGCTGAACCTGTTAAGGGTTTGTGAATGGGATTGTAAAAGCATAAAAGCAAGTGATGCTGATACCCCATGTAGTGAGCAGACTGGCACATGCAAAACAGCATCAGAAGAGTACTTTTTCAATCTTTTCAAGAGTTTTTTCTTCCTCTCCTTCCCCACAGCTTGTGGTCCGACCACCCTTATCTTATCACATTCAATACTCCCTCTCTTCCATCACTTAACTTGGTCACATCAAGCTTTAGCTATCAACTCCCAAAAGCATTTCACTATGGTTAGGAAATCTCAATATGATCTGCCAATCGGACAAGCAAATATGACCTTAGTTTGCAGGTTCAAGTCATAACCAGCTGTCTCACCCGCCCCTTAATAAATGAATCAACAGGAACTCAACTAAACACAATGTGAACCTGACAAAAAATAACTTATACATGCCAAGAACCCGACATGACATGAACTTGACTACAAAATGGGCCGGTTATGGTTCAACAAGTTCTAATACTAGTTACACAATTTAGAAGTATGGCGCAAGACCATTAACAAAACCCTACATTTGACAAAGAAAAAAGTAAGCCTCTTTTCCCTTTCTCCCTTAAGTGAGAGGTCCTCTTTCTTCCACACTCGAAAGATTCCAAAGGACAACATAACCAACAACCTTCCTAACTTCTCCTTTATCCTTTTCACAAACCTTTCTATATATATATATTCACTTGATATTGTTCTTAAACTCATCCCCGACACAGCATTCTCATACCCTGAATTCAAAACCTCAAACAAGGTCCTCCAATGCCATCTGTGCACTCCAGTCCATTCCACCAAATGGAAAATTCAGCCTTATTATCATTGCTTCATAGCAGCACCAGCAAGAAGAAATCAAAGAGCAGCACAGGAGGGCTCTTTCGCATGTTCAAACTCCTTCCCATGTTAACCTCAGGGTGCAAGATGGTGGCGCTATTGGGCCGACCACGAAAACCTCTACTAACGGACAGAGCCACCACCGGAACCCTTTTTGGATACCGGAAAGGGAGAGTGAGCCTTGCCATACAAGAGGACCCTCATAGAATGCCCATCTTTGTCATAGAGCTACCAATGCTAACAAGTGCATTTCACAAAGAAATGACATCGGACATAGTCAGAATTGCACTAGAAAGTGAGACTAAGACTCACAAAAAGAAGGTATTAGAAGAGTTTGTTTGGGCAGTGTACTTCAATGGAAGAAAGACTGGTTATTCTATAAGGAGAATTAATATGACTGATGATGAGCTTCACGTTATGCAGCTCCTGAGGGGGGTGTCAATGGGTGCAGGTGTTCTTCCGAGCCCGTCCGAAAAGGATACCGGAGATGGGGAATTGACATACATTAGGGCAAGATTTGAGAGGGTGGTTGGATCAAAGGATTCTGAAGCATGGTACATGATAAATCCAGATGGTGCATCAGGCCAAGAATTGAGCATTTTCTTTCTCAGAGTCCATTAGAAATCATGTACAAGCGTAGGTGTTAGTGCTTGAAAAAAAAAGAAAAGAAAAAGATCATCTCATCATGCTCTTTAAAGTTTGTTCAGGGATAAGAGAATACAAATAGCCTGTGTATTGAACTATTGATTTACATGGTCTTTTTGTACTTCACCACTTGGGGACAAATGGGAAGCTCTGTTCTTTCAAACTTTGATATTAATAATCTCCCCCAACCTGATTTAGAGGTAATTTGGTAATTGTGATGTAGTCTATTCGACTTTTAGTACAATGCGTCAAACCACGTATATGTTTGTCTTGTGCTCTCTTTTTTCTTCAAATTATTCTCTCTATTATCTTTCACATTTTTAAAAGTTCTTTAAACATCATGTGATTAAGCTACAGGCATATTATCCACCTTCTCTTTGTATATATGCAACAAACACAAAAGGTTTGTCTCGAATTTGGACTCATTTTGGATGATTTGCCTGGGGAATTATAGTGATGAGGGAAAAAACTATTCTTTGCAATACTTTAGTAAGTGAAATGCAATCCAAAAATACCCTGGTACCAAAATGTATCTCTAGAAGCTCTGAAGGACAAAATTGTTGTTTCATTTCACTTTTCGAGGAAGATGATGGTATTGCTTAGGGCTTAGGGCTTAATTGGTGGGATTTTACGACTTCTACTAACCAACTTCTCTGCTATGGAATTAGAGAGGATGAATAGGGAGTTGAAACTCCTTGCATCCAGGATGAAGCATTCTGGATACCCAAAGAGACTAGTGCATAATCAACATACCAGAACAGTAACAAGTTTTCTCCCTTAGCCACTTTGTTCTATTCTAGAAAGGCTATTGGGCATCAGATCTACCCTGATCAAGGTGTGTACATTTCACTCTCCTAAAACCCGCATAGGCAGAATCCTCATGCTCTGTGCTGGTTAATACCAGGCCTTCCCACTACAGCATGCAGTTTTAGAAATTTCAGGACCATATTTTCTTAATTGCAAAGAACTTATTAATTTCTCAGCAAAGTTATTGTTGTTATATTATAGCCAAAAAAGTCTCAGAATTTATTTCAAACAGGCCCAAGAATTGTGAAATGTTAGCATATATTGTTCCACCTCTAATTGGGTCACAAGTGAACCAAGCCCTGATCTTCTCCAAACCTATGACCGATAATTGAGCTGAATTACTTAGACTCGTATGAATCAAATTCGAATAATTTTTCAGACTTGTTTAGAAAACGATCCTAAAAACCTCAGCTTGAACTCGCAAACTTGTCTTGTTTATATGTAAAATAGTTGAGTTACTCGAGCTCAGCTTATTTTTTAAACGAGTTGAATTTGAACAAATTTTTAGACTCATTTAGAAAAACGGTCGACAGGTTCAACTTGATTAACAATCCTATCGAAGAGGATTTTGGTCTGAACCCAAATATTCAATAGCAAGGTGTTGATGTAAGTTGGGTGTGTCACTGAAATAAATTCACACCCTCCGCAATTGGACGCAATAGTTTTGAGTATGTGCTGTGTCATAGTAGGAATGAAATGACCACTGAGTTGGGTTCTCAGTGTGTATCAACCAGGACCAGCCTTCTCTACCCATTCTCTTGAAGGATCCAACAACATCCTGCGTTATTACAACTTCCAGTTTGTATCAACCAGATTGGATTCAAATTCGGATTCAGATCTTGTCAATTTAGAATATTCGTTTTTTTTTTTTGTTCTGGTCACTGAAAATTCACTTTTTTGATAAGTCAAAACATGTGTGTGTTGTTAGGGGGTTACAATGACGTTGAAATTAGATGATTGGAATTAGTAAATTTCTAAGTTGAGATGATCTAATCCGATAGAGTCACCAACTATAATCGCAATTGTAGTCCCAAACACTGGAAATAGTTTTGGACTCTCCTGTTCAATGGGTTAGAAGCCGAATAGAGTCCTAACGGCTGGGAGCCGGAACCTCAGATTAAGAAAAAGAACAGTCAAGAATCTGACTAATCCTAACAATCTTAGCTTTCGTGTGGGATAGCTACTATGAACACAATAGGGTAGAGAGGAGAGGGTCAACCTTATCCTTAGTTTGTTACAATTAAAAAATAAAAAGATGGAAAGTTGTAAATATATATAAAATATTATATTTGGTAAAATAGAAAAATAGGAAAGATGAAAAAGTTTATGGATAAACTTTTTTTCTAACTGGTAAAATCAATCTTTTCAAAATTAGGAGAAAAAAATAGATAAAAAATTAATTATGTGTGTTAAAATATATGTTATTTGTCTGTATATTCTTTGATATATACATATATCATATTTATCAATTAAATATTATGAATATATTAATTTCATATATAGATATAATGGTAAAATATGTAATTATATTTTTTAACAAAAAATATAAAAAAAAAGATACTTTTTCCATCTTACCAAACACAAAAAAATCAATCATTCTTATTTTTCATCCCTCTTACCAAAAAATCAAAAACAAAGTTGGGAAATAATGATTCTTTCCTTGAATAATACAAAGTGTATTACTCTCACTTTTTATCTCTCTATTTTTTCATCTATCGGGCCAAATAGACTATTAGAGCAACTACAGTGAGAATCGCATATTTAGATAAAAGTCATGAAGTCATGTAAATCTGACCTTTTTTAATATTATCGTAATGTCAAAAAGCTCATTCGGGTAAAAAAAAGTAATGTGAAACCACATAGTCTTTGGGATTTTTTTTGAATGTGCGGTGTGTGGGGGTGCCATTGGCGGAGGGAGGTAGGAGCTAGGGTGGGCACGTGGCCCCCTCATTTTTTTTTTATTAATTAGATATATGTATTATATATTTATATATATATATTATGTGTGTCCCCTCATTTATATTAGGTTCACATTATTTACCCAAAATAATTAAACAATTAAGTCCATTTCAAACAAAAAAATAGAACTCACTAAAAACAAAATTTTTAATCTAACATTAAAAACAAAATTTTTGGCCCACCATCATTAAAAAACAAAACTTTTGGCCCATTTGACTAAAACCTATTTTATTTTTCTTTTTTTTTCTCTCTGTATTACTCACTTCTAGCTGCCCACTACCCACTGCCCACGACCCAACCACAAGAACAAGAGAAAAAACAGAGAAAAATTCTATTTCTATGTTTTTCACTCATAGATATTTATGGCTCCGCCCATAGCAATATACATTTTTTTTTTAGAATTTTTTATGTTAAATGGACTTTATATATCAAATATAATATAATAAATATAAATATGTTATATCGTGTGATTGGTTAGAAGGAAAAAAAATTAAAATGCATAATTAAAGTGTCCATTTTAAGCAAAATTTTTGACTCCGTCCATGGGAGTGTGGGGTTTTTTTTTCTTTTTTTTTTTTGGTGCGGGGGGGGGGGGGGGAGAGGCTCCGTTATTGTATTCTTCTGCGGCTAGTTTGTTTCTATGTGGGGGCACAAATGCGTCGGCGTGTTAATTTGTGTAGTTGTTGCTGTTAATATTAATAAATGGAACACGGATTTGTGGCTTTAAATTAAGATAGGGGTTTCTAAGTGCTCCATTAATACCAACCTTAGTGTAGCCTCTTGTCTGGTGTTTTCCAGCCTAAATATTCCATGTTGGTGAACGAGGGAGTAGGGGAAACAGCCTTAATTTGACAGGTGTACCACTCTTAGAGCAAGTAGTATATTATAAATTAAAGACACGTGTCACAATATAAAAAAACAAATGACAAAGAGTCATCAGTTCATATGACAGTAGATCCCAACATGAGTCACCAAGATTTGTAAGAACAACAATGTCGCGATATCCACTAGCATCGCGATAGCACTCCAGTGTCACGGTAGACACCAACGCAAAAGAGCAGAACACAACCTCATTACATTGAAAGTAATAAAATGTACCGTTGACCAAGAACGAACAAGAGTGTTAGCGCAAAAGTCTAGGGACAATCTTAATCTGACTCGTTTTCTCTACTACAAAGATAAGGTATAAAAACTAGAACCTAGAATCCATCGGATCTTTGTCATGGCAAAGTCAACCAAAGGGACATTTTTGCTCAACTGGCCCAGTCCGAGGATTGGGAAGTATGCCCCTCCGCAAAAGAAAAACTGAGTAACAGAGGCGAGCAAGTATGATTGTCAATCTCAGTCTTAGGCAGGGGCTCGAAAGTTTAGTCTGTTCGAGTAGGTCTCCTAATGTATGGCTCACCGTCCATTGAGACATGTTTGACTGGGATTCAGAGGGATTTTTAAAGAAACTGGGATCACTGGTCCAGATTAACATACGGTGATGTTAGGACATGGGGATTAATGGCTAAAAGACAAAAACTATGTGATTTTTTTTTAATGGACAACTCGATATAGGCCTCAAGGAAGGGTCTAGAGAATGAAGGGAAGACTTCGGGCAGGGTTGTGTTGTGGGCACCGTGAGCATGGCCCTCTCACAGTCACGGTCCCATGGTGACCAATTGCGACTTTGGACCTTAGGAGTACCTCTTTGACCTCGATTGTCACACCCCTCCTCGAGGATCAAGTCCATGCTACATTTGAAAAAACGTCATATCTATCTAATTAATGATGAGATACGAGACTTGCAATGAGTAATCACCACTATCACCGTAATTGAGACAGTTGTAATGTGATTGAGGCAGTTGTAAGTCGATGCGAGACCCTCATACAAGCTCAATCTAACTTACCCAAGTATTGTGCTATAAATAACTGCAGTATTTTTCCACTGCTGGACACTTAAGTCTAGTCTAAAAAATAGGCACACTAGTTGATGAGAATATTTACGCTCTCCACCTACCTTTTGCCCACTAGGGCAAGTTCGAGTTATTTCAATTTCATCCACTTATTTCTTTGAATAAATTTGGCATAGACATATTTGTCAACCTCTTTTAACCATCTAACTACAAAGTAATATATTGTCAAACCTCATTCAAGAAGTTTGAATATTTAACTTCAATTTACACCATTCACCTTAAACATGAAGTTTATGATAGGAGAAAGGATGA